CCTCGTATTTTCTGGGTGCTTGTAGAATACACTTTCTACGCCTTATCAAGACTTCTTGATATAGTTAGCCGGGGCTGCGACAAACGGATTAGAATAGCCTATCGTGTCACTGCATCATTTGTCTTCGTTCTGTTTGCCGACTAAGGTGATCTCGTAATAGCATTCAAGCATATCACTTTCCTTAAACAAAAGAAAACATGTTACACCATTCGCACAAATATACAACCAAATCAATTCAGGAGTTTGAGTACGTTTGTTTTCCGTATAAATGTTTCTTAACATTTTGTTTGTTTTTTTCTGTTAAAATATTTTTCTTAGGCATTCGACAATGTGGATATTGAACAAAAAATGAGTATACGGTTTTTGGAATAATAATAATGTTGATGGTTACATCATCATCATAAATAATCTCTTCCTCTCCTCTCTCTCTGCCTATCTGTTATTTTTACACACAACACAAACCATTCACATCAATTCCAATTTTTTTTCCGTCTAAAATATGTATATCCTTCTTTGTTATGAATGATTTTGTTATTGTTCAACTTCGTTCTGTCCTCACTTCACACATGTGATCAACATGTTGGTGAGTATCTTGGTTACTAGTTCGTCGTTTCAGTTAGTGTGTGTGCGTGTGCGTAGGTGTGTTGGAACACTTCTCAATAATTACCAGTTGTGTATAACACACACACACACACAAGGACACATACTATACATATATATATACATATCTTTTGTATGATTATTCCACTTTATATTAACTTGATTGCCTACACTTAGCATACATACATACATACACAAAATACAATGTTTTGTTTTTTTATTTTGTTTTTGGCTACTTATATTTACATTTCAGTAGTGTATTTGTGTATCTTCTGTTTTTTTCTCCAATTTTTTTCTACAGTTAGATTTTCTTGATATTTTGATGATTATATTTTTGATTATTATTGATTAATATTATTATTATTATTATTACCTCTATTTGTTAATGATCATTATTACTAGTGTGTAATAATGATGAGAATATGATTTTAAATTGTGAAAGGATATTTATTTGTTGTGTTGGTAGTATATTTTCACCGAAACTTGATAATAATAATAATAATAATAATAATACTGATGCAATATATTTAGAATAAATACAGAAAAATAATCTACTGATAGATTTTTAATTATGTGTAATAGTGAAACTCTGCAATTTAGCTGTGATTTCTTCTAGCTGATGTCGTGTTCTGTAAGCTGAATGGTGGTTTGTAGTGAACGAGAATACAGGTTCGGCAACCGAATTGTATTTAACGAAAATTACAGAGTTACTCAGTAAAATCGGAAAACCATATCATAAATTGTTCATTCGCAAAATAACAGTTCATCCTATCGAACTAGACTGTTCCTGTTGCCAAACATCAATCCATTGTCACTACTATTCATGCGTTTCATATAAATTCCATTGTGTTCTAACTCTTCCTTTCTTGATCTTGCCCCATCTTCTGCTGCCAGACATTACGTAGACAATCACGTCATATACTACTTATAAGTAGCTCGCACTCCAGTTTAAATGGGAAGAGTTCCTTTTGTCTTTATGGAAAACATTTTGTCAAGTGAAATTTTAAATTAGTCCCCTCGACGAGTTATGTTTGTGATGTAGAAGTAGGTTGGAAGAAAGCTAGAGGTGGCTAAAGGAAAACATGAAGTCATTGACAAGTGGACTGAATCATGTTGGTGGATGCAGACTACGTGGTTGGGGCCGGCAAGATGATAGTAACCAATGATTAGAGACCTTGAATGACAGATGCAAATGCATCCATTCTTTGTGTTCTCTCAAATCCTAATATGAATTCCACACCACCTTCACATTTCTCTTTTTAAGTTAATTTCACTGAGTTATACTTCTTGGATAATATCTTCGAACCCAAATCTCTCTGATTTCTGCTAATATTTCTACAAGATGTACCACTGTGGGATTTGAATCGACAGTTGCATCTGTGCTAATGTGGTGTTGCAACCTGATCTGATATACTTATGTACGAAATTCTGCATTATAACTGACTAACTGATGTGCTTGGCGAAAATGTCATCTACTTTATCAATATTACTCCTAGTATTTTGACTGCTTAACTTCTTTTTATCCTCATTAATTATCTAACCATTGAAGTATTATTTATAACCTGTGTAATATTTATTAAATTACTAGCATGTCGTCAGAGTTCTAGTGCAGCGTTGCTTGGGGAGAGTACGCTCTCGAAATGATTTCATATGATCGTTCGAATATAGCCACTGCCAGCAAAGTGCTACTCATTGTCTTCTCGTGGCTGAATTGTTGTTTACCGAATTGAAAAGACTAAAATTGAGTGTCTTGCTGAGTTTGAAACCAGGTTGGTGGTCGTGGATGATCTAACGAGATGAGTTGGGAAACCCTGACTACGAAACCATGGTTTTCTTGCTGTCCAGACTCCTGATGGAGCGTATAATGTATTAGCTCCTTATTGGTGACCGTTTACTGTGGAACTGCATCGCCAATGCTTTGTGGATTAGATCTTTTACTGAAAGGCTCGAGGAGTTAGGTTGTAAGTAATCATCTGTTTGGGTTAGAAGGCACTGGCAGTATTCCAACCAACTTACATATTCAATAATTTGCATGGTGTATGATTGTTTACGTTACTCCTTTGATGCTACTACTGGTCCCGAGCCCGGATTAAGGAGGAGAGATGGGCATGGGGTTAGCTACCACATCCCGTATAAAACTAACTCAGTAAAAAGACGCTAACCAACCTTATTTCATATAGACTGTCGACAAGAGGACTGAGTCATGTTGGTAGATGTAGACTACCTGGTTGGGGTCCGCGAGACGAAAGTCATCAATGGTTAGAGACCTTGAACGACATGGCTCAAGATCCTTTGCAATGGCGCCGGTGCATCCATTCTTTGAGCTCTCTCAAATCCTAATCTTCTAGATTCGTCAGCACCTCTACCTTTGTCGTTCTAACCTTGTCTCACTGAATGTTTCTTCTTAAATTATATCTTCAAACCTTAGTCTTCTTCATTACCGTTAATACCTCTACTATCTTTATCACTATGGGATTTAATTTGACATTTGCGTCTCTGTGGTAATGCGGTATGGCAGCATAAACTTATGTACATACGTACGAAGTTCTACGTTGCAACTGACTGACTGATAGAGTCAAAACAACTGGACCAATTGAATTTAAATACAGAAGGTTACATCTCACAGTTCATTCTGATTGGTTTACTAATTGTCCAATGAGATTTTTTTAATGACGTGTAAACACTAATCAAACTCTGATGTGGAAAAAATGGCTAATGGTGTCAAAGTTTATTCTAAATATTCCATACATATAGCTGACACTTTAATTACTACTAAAATTTAAAAGTAGTCTGTCGAAAATCGAACATTCACTTCAATAATTAGTAGTCTGACACCTAACTAGAGCTCGTGAAGAGTAGGGAACGTTGATGAGTTGAGGTGTTAGGAACGTTGTGTCACTTGATTTAGAACAAATCATCAGTGAAAAGATCACCCTTTCTCTTTCTCCTGGTGATCGGCTGGATTATGAAGACGTCAACATCTGGAGGGAAGCACGGTATCAACTGGACAGTTAGGACGCAGCTGGACGATCTGAACTTCGCAGATGACCTGGCTCTTCTATCGCACACTCAACAACAAATGCAAGAGAAAAAGACCAGTGTAGCAGCAGCCTCTGCAGCAATAGGTCTCAACATACATAAACGGAAAAGCGAAATTCTCCGATCCAACACAACATGCACCAAACAAATCACTCTTGATGGAGATACCTTGGAGGACGTTAACACCTCTAAACATCTGGGCAGCATCATCGACAATCAAGGTGGATCCGATGCAGATGTGAGGGCACGGATTGGCAAAGCGAGGGCTGCATTTCTACAGTTGAAAAATATCTGGAACTCCAAACAACTTTCAACCAAAATCAGCATTTTCAATACAAATGTCAACACAGTACTACTGTATGGAGCGGAAACATGGAGAACTACGAAAGCCATCATCCAGAAGATACAAGTATTTATTAACAGTTGTCCTCGCAAAATACTTCGGATTCGTTGGCCAGAAACCATCAGTAACAAGCTACTATGGGAGAGAACAAACCAGATTCCAGTGGAGGAAGAAGCGGTGGAAGTGGACGGGACACGCACTACGAAAGGCACCTAACTGCGTCACGAGACAAGCCCTCACATGGAACCCTCAATGTGAAAGGAAAAGAGGAAGGTCAAGGAACACATTACGCCGAGAAATAGAGAAAAATATGTGAGGAATGAACAAACATTGGACAGAACTGGAGAGGGAAGCCCAGGACAGAGTTTGTTGGAGAAAACTGGTCGGTGGCCTATGTTCTATTCGGGGTAACAGGCGTAAGTAAGTAAGTAAGTAATCAGCGAAAGGAAAAATAATTATTCTCAAAATGATCTTTCTTTGTTTAAAATTTTAAAATAAACTTTGTTTAAATAAGTATGTACAATTTTTCATTAATCTTGTTAACAAACTGTTATAGTTTTTTTATTAAGGAAATCCTAACCAAAAAAAATCTTCAGTGTTCAATTTTTTGGTGATTGGTTTATAATATTCCCGTGAATTTTTGTACACTTAATTTAAATCATAAATCGTTGGAAATTCAAACAATCAAAACACTCACTGACTGACATGTTTGTTTATATATATGTATATATATGCATGTATGTATAACATTCGATGTTCAATAGGACAAAATAATCCTTGTCCTACATGTTCAATTGTCAATTTTCAATTTTATTGATCGGAATAAAAAAGAAAAAAAAACAAAGCGAGAAAATATAAACAGATTTACAATAATATATTTTGTGTAGAAAAGAAAAACTCGACGGAAGAAAATGATCGATCAATGAAGAAAGATTATTTCATTAGGAAAAATAAAGTGAATTTATTTATGTTTATTTATATATAGTGATATTTATATCTGGGTTTCTAATGTTGTTGTTTAATCAAATTTAGTCAAATCCCTAGTTTTTGTATTCAATCTACTCACATGAGATCGTTGAGTTAATGATGATGACTGTTGAATACATTGTGATGTAGTAGTAGTGGTAGTAGGCGATTGATCTGATCTAGATGTCAATGCTTCTGGAGTAAATAATCGTGTATTGAACATTTCTGTCGGTGATGTTAATTCATGAGGAGGATTCCATCGATTGGGAATAGATAGTCGGTTATTATTATTATTGCTATTTGTAGTACTTGTGGTGATGATAGTCATTGTTGGAAAAGTATTAGGCACAGAGGTATTATCTGATAATAAAATGACATCCGATGGAAGTATGGATTGTCCAGAAGTAGTTGTAAACAGTAAATTATTATTATTATTATTATTATTACTGGGTGATTGATACATGAAACTATCTGATACAATCAATTGTGAATTGGTTGTTAATGGTCGATTGTATACAACCATAGATTGTGTCATATTCTCCACTGATACACTATTCACATTCGATGCTAGAAATGGATTACGATGAGAGAATCGATTTGCATGAAATTGATCTAAATTCGACGATGTCGATTGATAGAGAAATGTATTTTTATTAAATGGTAAAGGTAATGAATATCGATAATCCATGGTGTGTACAGTATCAGTGGTACTAGCAGTAGTAGTACTAGTAGTAGTAGTACAAAATGCACTAGATTGTATTGGTTTAGTATAGAAAATTTCTGATGAAAATGTATTCAAATCAATCTGCTCGCTAGATTGAAAAGATAAATCACTTTCAGTGGATAATGGTTCCAACTGACTATCTGTCTCACCTGAATATTGTTTATAAAATTGTGATATACGTTGTCTAGGAGGACTACGTTTCGTCGGAAGATTATACAAACTATTATTATTATTATTATTATTTGGTAAAATATTTAATTTGATATTTTTATTCAATATTTGTTGAGTTTGGTGAATTGTTGAAATGCTTTTATTGACTTTTGAATCAGTCGGCAATACAATCAATGGATGTATTTTATTAGAGGACATGACTAAATTCGAGGAAGTACGATGTGATTTAAACGAGGTAGACATTTCCGATGTTGATGTTGATGATGATGATGGTGAGGATATTGCTGTCGGGGATGGGAATACTGTTTTAATAAATTTGCCAAGATTACTACTATTATTATTGTGATTATTACTGTTACCATGTTTCTGATGCGTAGCATGTTGACTGTTACGATGTTCTCCAGTGGTGTGTACCTGTTTCATTGTTTCATATTGACATTGGTTCTGTTGTTCTATATTGGAAACAAGTTGAGCAACTCGATCGTCAATTGTATTCATACGTTCCATTAAATTGTTCATTTCTAATTTAAATTCATTCTGTATACTGATTAAACAATTCAATATGGATTCATTGGACAATTCAAATTTTTTCAAACAATCATTCATGAGTTTTGATTGATTGTCAATAATTCGTTCAATATTTTGTTGATTCGAATTCGGTGGCGGATTTTCAAATTTACCTTGTTGTAAATCTTGTTCTTCTGGAATGATGGCCGATTTTAATCGATTACCCCATTTTGATTGTAAAAATGATTTGGTTGAATGTGTTGGTTGATCGTTAGTAGTAGTGTTTTGACTAGTGACAGTAGTGGTAGTAGTACTACTAGTACTACTACTATTAGTAGTAGTAGTAGCAGTAGTAGTAGTATTTGAAGAAACTGCTTGTTGATTTGATTCAGTAACAAATGTTTTATTAGTTTTCAACTCGATCCGTTTACCCCATCGTGATGCAATCTCATCCAGTACGCTGTTATTATTACCATTGTGATGACTAGCAGCGTTCGTGGTGGATGTACTGGGACTATCGAATTTCCCTTTCATTCTTGACTGATCATCATTTTTCAAACTGAATTCTAGATCTTTCACATAATCATCATCACCATCATAATCATAATCATCGTCATTGTAATCACCCAACGTGATTGATTTACGTGCAATACGTATGACGTCATTATTGTCTGCCAATTGTTGTAGACCTGGACCACTGTTACTCCCAATCGGGGAATCATTTGTCGATTGATTGTGTGTACCACCAATACGACGAAATTTATGTATCATACGTCGAACTGGATGATCTGCACGTAGACTAGACAATGCATTGTCAGTTTTACGATGTTCAGCTAATTCATATTCTCGTCGAACATCGGCTAGTTTACGAAATATTAGCTAAATAGGGAAAAAAAAATCAATTTGTCATTTAGTAGTAATTAGATTATTTCGGTTGAATCAAGACTTAGATGATGAGATAAACGTAGAGTTCATGGTAAATCAATCAGTAAATTGATGTAAATATTATCGGAAACAATCTACTGCGGCACAGAACTAGAACTAGATTCTTCCAGCGGGGGAAGAAATCAGGAAGAAGCTCTGGAAGTGGATAGGACATAGATTAGGAAAAGCATCCTATTGCCTCACAAGTAAAGCACTAGGTCAAAGGAAAAAAGGAAAACCCAAAAAACACATGATGTTGAGAAATGGAGACAGATATGAGAAGAATGAACCACAGTTCAACAGTACTAGAAAGGAAATCGAATGACGGAGTGGGTTAGAGAATGCTGATCGGTGATCTATGATCCATTATGGGTAGAAGGCGTAAGTAAGCAGGCAAGTATGTAGGGTAAATATCTCAGTAATCCAAAATGTCAGTTACTAACAACAAGGTAGCTGGTTAACCTGAGTTCCAATGCAATCAGGAGAAATAGCAGTTCTTGCTAATGGGTAGTAGTAACTGATACAAAACCTAGATCGAAAAAGATTTCTTCGCAACTTTTTCGTTCTGGAACCACTTCGCATAGTGAGCATTTTGTAAAACTGTTTGTTCGAGCTTAAGTTATATCCAGAACTGAAAAGCAGTGTATTTATTACAAATAAATGACTGATTTCACCCAGTAAATGATACTGTTGTTGGGAAAAAGGTAATAGGTAAGGAAGACAGACAGATCAATAGATGAAGTATTGAAACTTCATCAGTTGAGGTAACTGGGACATTCGTTATGTATGTCTAACCTCCGACTTCATCAGTGAGCAATGTGTTGGGGGTGTCGGAGTAAGCTGGAAGAAAGTTAAGGGCTGCCAGACCAAAACATATCACAAATCCATGAAGTCACTGACAACTGGATTGAGCCATGTCGGTAGGTGTTGACTGCCAGGTTGTGGTCCGTGAGACAATCGTAACCGATGGTTAGAGACCTTGAATGTGATGCCTCAAAATCGTTCTCAGTGGGGGTAGTGTATCCATTTTTGTGCTTTCTCAGATCGTAATCTGAATTCCTCACCACCTTCATATTTCTCTTTGTAAGTTGATTTCACCGAATTAAACTTCTTGAATCATATCTTCAACGCCTAATCTTTTCAATTACCTCCAATTCTTCTATTACCTTTACCGCTATGGGATTTTAATTACCAATCGAGTCTCTGTGCTAATGGGATATCGGACCATGAATTGATGTACTCGCATACGGTGTTCTACATTGTAGCTAACTGACTGAAGTCACTGATTTATGTGTAGATCTCCAGTACTATGAGTACTATGAGCATAATAAGTCATTCCATCTGAAAATTAGGTAAACATCATGACCAAAAGTGCTAACCAGTATAAACCTTGGTTTTACTGACTAGTATTTTTAACTTTTTCATAGAACTCTAGCCACATAAGAAAATTTAAACTAAAATTACTTTCATGAACTATATATTACATGCTTGAAATAAAAGTATTTCCTCGCGAAGCTAGTCACCAGTGAGCACATTGTATGGGGATTGTCTCTTCCAGGTTTCTAATTACGGTCTAACAATTATTGATACATGATTTTAGTAATATACAACAATTCTCGGAGTTCTAATGAGAATATGTGACCAATGGAGCACAACTCTGTCGGTTGTAGGCAGTAACTACCGAATATGAATGAATGACGTTGCACCCAGTCCCTAGATAAATCAGAGTTAGACATTTTGTATGCCGGTTCAATGGTCTAGAGGTTAGGCGTTTACGCGCAAGACAGAAGGCCCTGGGTTTACTCGCTACGAATAGCAAGAGTAGTATATGTGCACTGCTAATGAGGCCAGGCAGGACGAAGCGGCCGTCTTTCAGTACTTCCAGGTTTCTAACCATGGTGGTCTAACTATGCTTGTTTCGTGATTTCAGTAGTTACTGAGTATTCATTATCTAATATATAACTCATTTTAAAAAAAAATCACTAACATCAATAATAATAATAACTTACACGTGTTTTTAAATCGTATGTTAATACTAAATTTCGTGCAAAACTATTCGCGAATGCTGAATAAAATTTTAAAACTTGTAATAAACAATCTTTTTTAATACAATGTAAATCACAATAAGTTAATGCACGAACAGTTGCAGCTGAATGACTCATACTATTTGGATCTTTCCAAAATGGTTCACCGAATACATCACCGCGACCTTGTAGATATATATCAAATTAGATTAAAAAAAAAAGAAGTAGGGTTTAATGATATATGATTATAGATTGATTAGACTATACAAAAAATGAGAGAATTATGGTGATTGTTCAAAATGAATTTAACTTACACTTTGGAATCATCAATCGTCATTGTTAGAGTGCCATTAGAAACTTCGGAGCACTAGATGGCCGTTTCGTATTCGAATGGGACGACTTATGAGCAGTGCGCATCCACGGCTCCTGCTACTCACAGGACTCGAACCCATGACCTTCGGATTTGAGCAACCAACCCCTGGACGACTGGGCCGGCATACGACTGTGTTAACGTTTAACTCTGATCAATCTAGCGATTTTGCGCAACCTCATCCATTTGTCTTCGATAGTTACTGCCTACACCCTACAGGGATGAATTTGTCTTCATAATAATTAAAATGCATGCGAGTACTGGATAGATGTTTTTTCCAAGGTTTAAAATAATACAGTAGCATTCATCCAATACTTCTTCATCTAATGAACTTTAAGATCCTTAGATAATATGGCATTCTTTATTGACTTATGATGTAAGATATTTTCAAAACAAATAGTCTATAGATATTCCACATCTTCAGTTCCTCACAAATTTTATTTTCATCAAATAAGATTAACTACTTACAAGTAGTTCAAATTTATTTAGTAAATTAAGTGCATCCCATGAATAAACCATCTATTTTCTCACAAATGTTGACAACGAAGTCAGTCTGAGAAATACAATGAGCTCCACTCATATAAATAAATAAGTTGATATTCTGAGGATAATTACGAAATTCATCCCAATGTTCAGGCATAATGAGTGTGAGATGCTCATTTCTTACGACAGTTTACATGAAACATATGTGTAGTTTATCGTAGACTGGTATTGACACTATTATTACTAGCAGTGAAAAGAAATTAAGGACTGCTGGAGTAGTTTTTGAGGTAGAAACGAATCAGTATTACTTATTTTCCTATTGAATTACCTCTCGTCCAAGATGTTGCTTCTGAGGATCAAACAGTTAATTTATAATTAAGTGACAAGGAATTTGGTAATTAAATTCAACGAGAAAGTCTTTCGATTCAAATTGATGAAGAACAGCCATTCAAATACTATAATCTACTTAACATTTTTAATAATTGTAAATAAAAATTAAGTTTACCAAAAATGAAAATTTCAACTGGGAATAATACAATTCAATCACTGGTTGAATACTATTTTTGTTATTTAAACTCAGTGTGTAGAAAGTATCGACTGGATAACAGATAAACGTTTGTATCACCTAAATACGAATCGTGGAAATATTACAATCTAACCACCCATTCTCGGCTTGTTTCAGCCAAATAGTTTTGAAAAGATGCACATTGATGTGAAGAACACTCAACTGAGTCACGAGATAAGCCTTCACTTGGAATCCTCAAGGCGGAAGCGAAAGAGTAAGTTCTAGGAACATGTTACTCTGTGAAATGGATATAGACTTGAGATGAATGAATAACTCTTGAATGGAAACATTAAGGAAGGCCTAGGATAGAGTATGTTCGAGAATGTTTGTCAGCGGCCTATGCTCCATCAAGGGTAACAAGCTTCATTTATTGACATATTTGCCCTTGGAAAATAAATCACAAAAGTTGATCCATAGTAAATTATTCTTAACATATGATTTGATAGAAGACATTCACGAGTGAAGATGAGTGACAGATAATGTCTGCTCGATATATTTCTTCATTCCAAATTCATTCAGCGGAATCTAAGAAGCTAGATCACATTTTTCTTTCCATAGAGAAAAGCAATACATAAGGCCTATCAGAAATCGATCAACTTGTGGTGTGTCAATTTCGACATGTTCCTACTCTTCATGATTAGCTCCTGTGACGGTTTATAAATCACAAGGTGAACTTGTAGTGTTGAATACGTTTATTTGGGACACACCACACAAAGCGAAGCGGAGAAGCAGTGAATAAAATGAATGAAGCGACGTGAATTGGAGAAGGCTGTTGAGCCAACTCAAAGAGATAGAGCGTGACTAAGATTACATAGTCAGACAAATATAAGGCAGACATGTGATCAACGAGATAGGCATACACACACATGAATAAAAGCGAGGAATAGTTGACAAGGTCAAATGATAAGTGGGACACGTCATGTGAGCTCTTCATACAAACCACACATAATAAGAACGAATGAATGGTACATACAAATTGTTGCGATACAAATGCCTTGGTTACATAAATTAATCGAAAGGGCTTAACCAAATTAAATGTAAGCGAACTGTAATATAATATGTGAAGGCACTACAAACTAATAAATGCAACTGATTGGTTAAAAAAGATTCCTTCCATTTTATAAAGAGAGAGAGAGCTGTTCATACAGTTTAGTCAATCAACACATCCATTCTTACTGTCATCAATCAGTTAGTTTGGTATTTTTACGGAAAAATTATGCAACACTGTCAATACTAACCAACATTAATTGAAAATAATATTATTCATAAAAAGTTTCTTACCTAAAAATGCTACAATTTCATCATCTTGAATTACTTCCAATGAACCAGATACAACAAAACACAATTGATCAATACTTTCACCTTGATGAAATATTAAATCACCTGGGGCTGTATGTATTGTATTAAAATTAACAGCTAATGCTCTTAAACAACCATCACTAGCTAAACGAAATGCTGGATGTTCATTGAATACCATACGATTTAAATGGATGCATAAATCAGCTTTCATATCTTTTGGACAATAATTTAATACCTAATTGAAACAATGAACCAAAAGAAGTATGCGCATATATATGTTTATATTGATTATTGGAAACATGAAACAATTACTGTTAGGCTACCATTAGAAACCTGGAATCATTGGAAGACCGTTTCGTCCTGGAATGGGATTCATCCATAGCAGTGTGTATTCACGACTCCCGCTTATCATAGGATTCGAACGCAAGGACTTTTGACCTCTGGATCACTGAAGTGGCTGGTATCCCACGGTGTTAATGTCTAACTCACTAGAACTTCAAGAATTTCCTCACGAAGCGTGTCACTAGAGTGCTTATAGTACAGCTGTTCATTATTGAGTTATTATAGGGTTTCACGGTTTAAATGTGTCGATTGTAAGGCAGTTACTCACTGGAAACGATGGATGAAGTAGCACAATAATATTGTGGATTGATTTAAGTTAAAGATCAACACCACTCGATGACATATTAGTGGTCAAAAAGTTCAGTGTTTGCATACGAGACCGAAGTTCCTAGGTCCAATTCTCACATGCAGGTATCGTGAATGCGCACTGCTGATGAGTTCATACTAGGATATAACGATTATTAATCATCATCATCATTTCTAATGCTGATCCAACACCGATAGATTTACGATATATTTGTTTCAGTCAGGGGTTGTGAAGACTGGTAAGTTACACATTGAAATAATCAGTCGATTTGCGTTAGACCACTATCAGAAACCTGAAATCACTGGACGGCCGTTTCGTCCTGGTATGGGTCACATCGGCAGTGTGCATCCACGAATCCTGCACCTCACAGGTTTCGAATCCAAGACCTTCGTTCTTGCACGTGAACGCCTAACCTCTGGACAACTGAGCAGATGCTGAAAGGTGTTAATGTCTAACTTTGATCAATTCACGGAGTTGCCCAACCTCATACACTGTCTTCGGTAGTTACTGTCTACACCCGAACAAGCTGAACTTCACTAGTCATGCGTTCGCGCTCACGACAGAAGGTCCTGCTGTGTTCGAATCCTGCGATGTTCAGGGATCGTGAATGCGCACTGCTGATGAGTCCCATACCAGGACAAAACGGCCATTCAGTGCTTCCAGGTTTCTGATGGCGGTCTAACATTGATCGATTCATGATTTCAATATATTTATTTGTTATATTATGATTGTTGCTGTTAAGTTCTTTAAATGGTCATCTGTAAATCCTAATCGGTTCGCTATAAAATAATAATTTTGGGTTCCGGCGACATTATCAACTTCTTGTCACATCCAACTAACACGATCTCTGTATCGTGTAAAAACCAATATTCAATTTTGACATAACATGATACATTTTTAACCATGAACTAAGCAATATGAACTTAAAAAAATATGGATGATTTTTTAAATAAAAAATTGTTTAAAATAACCCGAAATAAACACGATAATTTTTTTATTTTTTCAGTCTTTTTAAAAATTGAAGTTCAAAAATTTAATTTATAAACGTTAACTTTGAAAAAATAATTGACTAATAGAGACAGTAAAATTAAACATTGAAAATAAGTTTATTTTATAAATAAGAATTTATTTTTTTCAGAAAAAAAAATGACATGACCCCAGTTTGTAGATTATGACATATCGAAGGATTGAGTATACTTGAGTAACATTCTATGTAGAGATGCCTTGTTGTACCTTATATACACATAACTTTAAGGCTTGTTTATCGTTTTATTTGGTTAAGAGCCACCCTTTTTAATTAACTTATTTAACAGATAGTATCATTTGTGTGGTAATAATTTATATGTATCATTTTACTTTGGATTAATGTCGGGTTGATTGAGTATATTGCTTCACCACATACGCATATATTGATTGCATTCAGTTTCATGTTAGCCACTTAAATAATTCGATGACTCATGACTCACTGGCGCGCCTGTTTTCTTGCTAATCGACACTCTTAATCTCATTTTCACTGAAGTTTTGTAATCTCTGTGTGTACTTACTTACTTAATTACTTAGGTCTGTTACCCCCAATCAAGCATAGGCCGCCAAACAGTTTTCTCCAACCAACTCTGTCTTGGGCTTCCCTTTCCAATCCTGTCCAATTTTTGTTCATTCTTCTCATATCTTTCTCTATTTCTCGACGTAATATGTTCCTTGGCCTTCCTCTTTTCCTTTTGCCTTGACGGTTCCATGTGAGGGCTTGTCTCGTGACGCAGTTAGGTGCCTTTCGTAGTGTCTGTCCCGTCCACTTCCACCGCTTCTTCCTCCACTGGAATCTGGTTTGTTCTCTCCCATAGTAGGTTGTTACTGATCGTGTCTGTCCAACGAATCCGAAGTATTTTGTGTAGACAACTGTTAATAAACATTTGTATCTTCTGGATGATGCCCTTCGTATTCTTCTCCTGAATTGTTTACACCGACGGGCGCTATCTAGTAACGGTTATCAGGACGAGCAGTATACGAAGTCGAAGGAATTTTATTGAATACCTACATAATTTGTGAGCTCACATCCAACACGAACTTTATTGAAAATGTAAAACTGTTATGTACTACATGTTCATGTTTATCACTCGTACTTTATTCTTCATTGGTTTTATCAAAGATAAGATTTGTTGTGAAAAATTAACTGATTCACTATGATATGTTCGTCAATGGATATGTTTGAATGGTAATACATGTTCATCTCACTCGGTAAACGGAACGAAGTCATGATACTGTGACATGATTGGCTATTCTAATCCGTTTATCCCCGGCCCGACTATCTAGATCCGTATACTAATTTCTACAGTTTCAGACCTATCCGCTACAAAAGAAATTTGGTTGAATGTCTCATAAGCAGGGCAAAAATGATCCATTCAGTAGATACTTTAAGTCAGGAGCTAGAGTTCATCAACAACGTACCACAGCACGTTTTTAAAGAATTATTATATGTATACTGTAAAAAATAAGTCGGAGACTTTGACTGTTCGGAAAAAGTTTCATTAAACGTCATGAAACTACAGTCCGAAGGGGGGTGAGTAGCGATGTCCTTCATGAGAGATTAGCAATAGTACTCAATAAGACACACACAAATCGAGCTAATTTACGCATGATAGAAACGCCTTTGGGAGAGCCACAAAATAGCGTACTAAAATAATCCATCCACCAATAACAGTCAAGGATTTACCGAGGGGGAAATGTGAGCTGAATATCAACTGGCGCGAAAACATGGAAATTCAAAATTTCACAATAAAATTACGAAATTAGGATCTTTCCACGTGAGTTCTGGGGGTCTAACGTCTCCAACACACTTATCATTTAATTAGAGGATTACGCTTTAAAGTTCTTTTATTTATGATAGAATTTTCGTTCAGTACATAAATTACTGTAAATCAACAATAGTGAAACTTATCCTCTGTCAAATAATAACTGTACGTTGTTCACAGTCAAAATCTAGTTTCAACCTGTATGCAAGAACACATTCTAGTTTGTTTCAACAAGGTTGACAGAAAAACCGTTCAAGTTCTGTTCTTGAAATCTGATTATACAGCTGACACAAATACTGATCAGTACTAAACGCGTGCTCCCTGGTTTCCAGTGTTTCGTTAACTAATATCTATTTGCTTACTTATTACATCTCAGAGAAAACGGACATCGCAGTCCTAACTATCAATGGGGAGATTGAAACTACCAGTAAAAATAAATTAAACGTTTCTCCATTTCATAAACCGATGTCTGTCTGGACTCCATAGTTAAGTGGATGGCATTTGAAGCGAACTTTATTGAGTTTGAGTCTTGAAGTGAACGCAAACTTTGAGTGATTCAGACACATTGAACTACTGTTAAGTCCCAAATAATGTGTTGGTTGTTTCGTTCTCTGAGCTGGATGTTTTGGTTGTGGAGCTTTCATTGTTTTTCTTCTGAACTACAACATCATCAGCCCAAACTTTAGGTAGAAGTGAAGTGTTAATCGAATTTCTCCACGTTTGACCTGTAGCTTGCTCTGCTAACCTCGATCTTCATTGGTTGTTTTTGACCTAACGTCTGTCGTTGTTTGCACCCTTGTTTTGATTGTATCCCCCTTTCTGATCTGTTTCTTGATTCTATGTTACTTATGATTTTTCTCCGATGCAACAAAACATGCACCAACCAAATCACTCTTGATGGAGATGCCTTGGATGATGTTAACACCTTTACATATCTGGGCAGCATCATCGACAACCAAGGTGGATGTGATGCAGATGTGAGGGCGCGGATCGGCAAAGCAAGGTCTTCATTACTACAATTGAAAAACATCTGGAACTTCATACAAACATCAATCAACACCGAAATCAAGATTTTCAAAACAAATGCCAAGACAGTTTTAATGTATCGAGCGGAAACTTGGAGAACTACAAAAGACATCATCCAGAAGATACAAGTGTTTATGAACAGTTGTCTACGCAAAATACTTCGGATTCGTTGGCCAGACACCATCAGCAACAGTTTACTCTGGGAGAAAACGAACGAGATTCCAGTGGAGGAGGAAATCAGGAAGAAGTGGTGGAGTTGGTGGATAGTACACACACTACGAAAAGCACCTAAATGCGTCACGAGACATGCCCTCACATGGAACCCTCAAGGCAAAAGGAAAACAAGAAGACCAATTAACACAATGCGCCGAGAAACAGAGAAAGATATGAGAGGAATGAACAAACATTGGACAGAACTGGAGAGAGAAGCCCAGGTCAGAGTTGGTTGGAGAAAACTGTTTGGCGGCCTATGTTCCATTGGGGGTAACAGGCGTAAAAAAAATATATGACTTTTCTGATTGGTTGAGAAATTGGGTCAATGTCGTATAGTTCACTTCCATTCGAAGTTGGTGCTGATGATGTTGTTCAGAAAAACAATGAAAGCTTCACAACCAAAACATCCAGCTTGGAGAACCAAACACCGCCACGACAATCATCCATTTGAGCTACAAATTTTCTCCACCATCTCAAATAACGTGAAACGTACATCCTGGATTCCATTGACAGTCTCTATCCATCTATGTTTGTAACCTATTGGCTACATCGAGGCAATTTGCACAGAACGCTCATGTATACCAAAGTAAAACTGATCAATTACAGTCCCAACTACCGACACATTCAGTACACAAATTACTGATACAAATGAATAAAACTATTATCATTCAAAAAAGGGAAAATGAAAAGAAAATAAAATATCTCACTTTTGCTGTATCAATTCCTTTAGTGATAGCCCATGTCGATGTGACATAATCAATAACACGTTCAGCTAAATCTTTTGGTACACTATGCGTTTTAATGAAATCTTTCACTGATGCCATCATATCATGATATCTTGATCGAGTGGCATACATTCCTTGAAATATTGTTGTCACATTACCAAAAATGGTGGCATAACCAAATGCTGTTTTTGAAAGGAAACATACGAAAAAAATATAAGACAAAATGAAATGAAAATTTCACTGAAGTGACATAACACTGTAATCATTGTCGAAGAGAGAAAGGAAGAAATTACTGCTTCAGAGAAATTTATATCTATATACTCGTTCGAATATGAAAACAGATTAGAATGAGACTGTTAAACTAGGTGTGTCGAAAGGATGAATAGATGGTCTAACATGAGCTACAGTCTATCCAGCTGTTAGCATAAATAAGTGATCATGTCGGAACGAACAAGATTAAGATCGAATGTTCAATAACTGTTGAAAGGAGAGTTATCGACCACTAGATACGTATCAGTCGGTCAGTCAGCTACAATGTAGAACGTCAAGTTGCCGCACTACATTACCACACACAGATCGAATTGTCGATTCGAATCCGATGGTAGTAGAGTGAGTCGACGTATTGGCGATAATCGACAAGATTAGAGTTCGAAGAAATTCTTCAAGATGTATAATCTAGTGAAATGAATTTAAAATGAGATAAGAAAGCGTTCTAAGCTCATGACGTCATAAGAGAAGACAAGAGATGGATGCATCTGCGCCAATACAATCGATTTTGAGCCACGACATTCAAAGTCTCTAACCATCTGTTACTGTTGTCTCGCTGACCCCAACCAGTCACCAACATGACTCAGTCCACTAGCCAGTGAGTTCATGAATTAGTGCCATATTTTGGTTCGGCCACCCCTAGCTTTATTCTTGCCTACCTGCACGTCAGACACCATCGCTCGTGGAGGCAGTGAGTGGTTGGGCATACTTAACACACTAGTTTTCTCCAAAATTAGGATTATCTGTGTTTAGTGCTTATGTTTGGCAATATTTGTTTTGGCATAGTGACTATTTTGTAATTGGTGTCACCATCTGTAAACGCCGATTTCTGTGACTTCGACGGATGTTGCAGGAGTAAATTTGATATCGTGCGCTATTCGCGAAAACTGAGACTACGTGGAAAGTGGACAATTGGTTGGGAAATAACACCGTGCGGTGGTCCCTGAAGAAGTCAGCGATGCTTCAAAGACATCCATGATCGAATATTCCCTATTCTGAGTGGTCACGATTCACACACCAATCGTAGCACAGATAGCAATGATGTGCAGTAGACTCGTCCCTCGGTTAGCAGACGGATATTTCCAGTGAGAAGACGTGACCAGTAGAGTATTTCAACCATGTCAAGTGTAGGCATTAACAACCGAATACAAATGAGTGAGGTTGCTCAAAACCCTTAGATTAATTAGAGTTAGACATTAACACA